ATATTTGAGGTTGTTTTCCCTTTTTGCCTGTAAGAAAAATGATGCTATGAACATTCATGTGTAACTTTTTGTGTGGATACACACGTTTTCATTCTTCCTGGGTATATATCTAGGAATGAAACTGCTGCGTCATATACTAACTCTTTTACCTTTTGAGAAATTTCCACACTGTTTTCTAAAATAGTATACCATTTTATACTGCCGCTAGCAATGTATTGCTATTCCAATTTTTGTACTTCTTCACCAACCCACATTATTGTCTGTTCTTTGATTATAGCCATCCCAGATGGTGTAAAGTGGTCCTTTTTAAAAAACTGGCATTGTTATTTTGTGGAATCAAAATTTTTTCTTATCCTCTGGATGGTATTATTTCTTTAAATTCTTGTTGGTTCCCTGAATTGTCTCTCCCTGAGGCTCATCTTTGTTCAGTTGTTTTGAACTTCTGTCTTTCAACTTGGAGACATTTCACAGATGTCTATGATCCTTGTCTGGACATTCATATTTAAAATTCAAAAACTTATTAAGAATGCTATGTTTATGAATAAGGCTTTATGATGTGTGCCCACCCTGCTTTTTCACTGGGGACTCCATATATTATTACTTAGAAATATTTTCTCTTGAAAATATTTCCCGTCTAAGGCTATGTTCTTTTTTGATTAGCAATTTCTTTGTCATTTTTCTCTTCTCACTTTTACTATACGGTCCAAGAGAAGCCAAGCCATACCTTCAACATTTCATTTAAGTATTTCCTCAGCAAAAGATTCAGCTTCATTCCTCGTAAGTTTTATCTTTCATAAAACACTAGGGACCTCTGCAGACAGAGAGAGCAATGGAGGGAACTAGCAGTACACCATGCAAAATAAAAATGTTAACTTGATCTTTCTGACTTTTGACCTGCACACCACTCCTACTAACCATCCAACCTGGTATCCCTGAGTCAAGAGCCACACTAGTTTACTGTCTCCATATCATATACTTCCAGTTTTCAAATATATGGGTAAGAAGTTAGCAACAGTAAGCTAAGAAAATTTAACCATCTATATTCCTATTTTAAAGAAATAGCCTTGATTTTAGCTCCACACTTGAACTCTGAGTTTTGCAGTAACAGGTTCCTTCAAATCCCAAGACTTTCTTCAATTCTCTGGGGGCAGACAAACTCTTTTCATCATGATTTCTGTCTCTAGGCACATACTTACCTCTTTCCATGCTCTATAACTTGTAAAAATTTTTGTTTGCTTCTACCTTCTCTTCTATATTTTAACCTTATGAACTGACACTTTAAAAACATGACATTATTGACATTTAAGGTTTGAGAAAGTTCTATGATCCTTGTCTGGACATTCATATTTAAAACTCAGAAATTCATGTCTTCTTCACATGCAAAAGTACATTCATTCCATCCCAATGGCCACAAAAGTCTTAACTTATTCTACCATTGACTCAAAGGTTTGAAGTCTAACATCTCATCTAAATATGATTTAAATTAAATGAGTAAAATTCACAGTACAATAGATTTTGAAGCAAACTGATCTCCAGCTGTGAACTTGTGAAATCAAACAGGTTTTGTGCTTCAAAAATACAATGGTGGGAGGGACATAGGACAGACATTTCTGTCTAGGAAAGAAGGGGTAACATGTCCCAATTAACTCTCAGCACAACAGGGTAAACAACATTAAATCTTAAGGCCCAAGAATAATCTTTGGTTCGATGCTGTTTTCCAGGCCCACTAGTGAAGGTGGTTCTGCCCCTGCAGCTTTGCTGAGCAGGGATTTGGGGCTCCACAGCTCTGAGCATCCTTGTTCCCACAGCTTGGCAAAATGGCCCTCCAGCAGCTCCGTCTGTGCTTCATTCACAGTATCGCTGTGCCTGGGCACCATGGCTCTCCTGGGCTGATGTCATAAGCTGAAGGCTCTGTCAGGAGGCTCCTTCCTTTAAAACCCAGGTGGAACCAGCCATTACCCCTGGCTTCTGCATTCTGCACCCTGGAGGAGATATGACCCTCCAGAAGGGTGACCACTGCAGCCTCTGCCACATCTAGACACATGGAAGCTGCACCTGGGGCAACTGATGAACACAGTTTAAGTATAGGGAGCAGAGCCCACAGCATGAGTTCATGCTAGGCAGTACAGCTCAAGGTCCCACAGACTCCAGTAGCCCTTACATTGCATTCTTCCATTGTTTTGAACAACAGCTCCTGGCTTCAGTTGAGATAGCTGACTAATCTCCTTATCAGATGGTCATTTGGCCACACCCTTTAAGTTCTTTCCCAAACAGCCTTTCTCATTCTTTACAATATGGATAGGCTGACAATTTTTCAAACATTTAAATTCAGCTTCATTTTTTATTATCAATTTAAGTCATTTTTCTCTTCCCACATTTTACTATACACAGGTAAGAGAAGTCAAGCCATACCTTCAACACTTTTCTTAACTATCTCCTCAAAGATTCAACTTCATTCCTGTAAGTTCTATCTTTCACAAAACACTAGGGCAGGAATGCAATTCAGCCAAGCTCTTTGCCTCTTTATAACAAGAATGATATTTACTCCACTATGCAATAACATTGTGATACTGTAAAACATATATTTGGTCTTTACCCCTATTGTGGTATCTTTTTATGCATGAGTTGAGTGATGGCTGGGAGCCCCTCAGTAACATCAGGATGGGGGTGGGTCATAAAAAAAGACCAAAATCTGACTAGAGAGTTAGGACTTCCAGCACCGCCCCTCAAAACTCTGGTGAGGGGAGAAGAACTGAGAGTTAAGCTGGTCGTCAACGGCAAATGATTTAATCAATCGTACCTACATAATGAAGCTTCCATAAAACCCCAAAAGAACTGGGTATGGGGAGCTTCTAGATAGCTGAACACAGGCAAGTTTCTGGAGAGTACCATGTCCAGAGATGGCATGGAAGCTCCATGTCCCTTCCACCATGACTTGCCCTACACATCTTTTCCATCTGGCTGTTCATCTGTATCTTTTTTCTTTTTTTTTTTTTTTTTTTTTTTGAGACAGGGTTTTACTCTGTTGCCCAGGCTGGAAGGCAGTGATGCAACCATGGCTCACTGCAGCCTCAACCTCCCAGGCTCAAGCAATCCTCCCACCTCAGACTCCCAAGTGTCTGGGACTACAGGCACACACCACCACACACAAAAGATTTCTGGTTTTTTTTTTTCTTTTTTGTAGGGACAGGCTTTTGCCATATTGCCCAGGCTGGTCTTGAACATCTAGGCTCAAGTGACCCATCCTCCTCAGATTCCCAAAGTGCTGGGATTACAGGTGTGAGCCACCATGCCCAGCCATGTATCTTCTGTAATACCTCTTACAACACATGAGTAAATGAAAGTAAGTTTATCTCTGAGCTCTGTGAGCTGCTCTGGCAAATTAATCAAACCTGAGGAGGAGGGGATCATGGAAACCCCTGATTTACAGTCAGTCAGAATACAGGCTACAATCTATTACTGGCAACTGGTATCTGAAACTAGGGTTAAGCATGTGGGACTGAGTGCCCAACCTGTTGGATCTGATGCTACCTCCAAGTAGATTGTGTCAGAACTGAAGTGAATTAAGAGGACACCCAACTGGTGTTTAGGAGAGAATCATCTTCTGCAGAATCTGCCAAAGAATTGGTTGCTGGTGAGGAGAATTCCCCACTCATTTTGGTAACAGAAGTGCTATGTTATACTGAGTGGTAAGGGAGACTAGGAAAAATATTTTGATTTTTTTCCTCTCTATCCTTGGAAACATGTTCTTTCTTTCCAGGTGAGACCTATCAAAATGGCCATTACTGTGCATATTTCTACCAACACTCTTTTCAGGACTATTCAAGTATTCTCTAAGAAAACTGAGGCTTTCTCTACAGCTCTCTTATAATCTCGGTTCCCACCAGAATCACCTTTAAAGGTCAGCTCACAGCAATGTAGGCCTTTGCACACATTCCGAAATTCTTCCAGCTACTACTGATTACCCAGTTCCAAAGATGTTTCCATATTTTTTGGTATTTGTTATAGTATCACTACTACTTCTCAGTACCAACTTTCTGTCATAGTCCATTCAGTCTCCTATAACAAAATACCACAGACTGGGCAGCTTATAAAAACTAGAAATTTATTTCTCACAATTCTGTCAGCTAGGAAGTCCAAGATTCAATGTCTACTGAGGTCCCACGTCTTCATAGACAGTACATTCTAGTTGCGTCCTCACATGATGGAAGGGGAGGACATTGGTCTCTTCAGACATTTATAAGGGCATTAATTTCATTTACGAAGGTCCTACACCCAGGACCTAATCACCTCCCAAAGGTCTCACCTCCTAATATCATTAACTGGGGAATAGATTTCAACGTATGTATTTGGGGAGACATAAATATTTAGTCCACAGCAGAAGGAGAGATGCATGTATGGGGTCATTAAGCTATGTTTAATATTTTGCTTTTATTATAAAGTTTAATCAACTAAAAACTAGGTATGAGATTAACGTTTACACATAACCATTAACTTCAGTAATAGTTCTGATGCAAAAATCGAGTTCAAAATTCAAATCCTTAGGCCAGGTGTGGTGGCTCACGTCTGTAATCCCAGCATTTGGGAGGCCGAGGCGGGCGGATCACAAAGTCAGGAGTTCAAGATCAGCTTGGCCAACATGGTGAAACCCCGTCTCTACTAAAAATACAAAAATTAGCCAGGCATGGTGGCACGTGCCTGTAATCCTAGCTACTCGGGAGGCAGAGGTAGGAGAATCGCTTCACCCTGGGAGGTACAGGTTATAGTGAGCCAGGATTGTGCTAGTGCATTCCAGCCTGGGCAATAACATAACATAACATAACATAACATAACATAACAAAACAAAATTCAAATATTATGTTCAATAAAACATAAATAAAAGCGGAAAATTTAATATGGTTTTAGAGTAGTTTCATCCTATTTCTTATGTTATGATCTTATCTAAAATAGATCTAGTTAGAAATTATTTGGGGTCACTACAAATTCATTGAGTGGCTTACCTCTTCTTTTCCTAATGTTATGAGAACATCTTCAGTCAAAGGAATTACTACAAAAACAAAACAAAGGCACACATCGTTAACTCTCAAAAATCAAGAATTTAATTTTGCAGTTTTCTAAGATAATTCTTTCCATCTCCATTTACATAATATACAACTCTTTTCCCCCCAAGACAGAGTTTCCCTCTTGTCACCCAGGCTGCAGTGCAATGGCGCGATTTGGCTCACTGCAACCTCCACTTTCCTGGTTCAAGCAATTCTCGTGCCTCAGCCTCCTGAGTAGCTGGGATTATAGGCATCCACCAACATGCCCAGCTCATTTTTGCATTTTTAGTAGAGATGAGGTTTCACCATGTTGGCCAAGCCAGTCTTGAACTCCTGACCTCGAGTGATCCACCTGCCTTGATAATACACAACTTTTTATGAAATGTGTGTAGTTTTCATTTTATTTATGTTTAACATCTTTGCACATATAGCCAACTACATAAAATTTTAGATAAATTTGATCCTATTTATGTACCATTTAGTGCTTTTTTCTTTTGTTCTTCAAACCCTCAAAAGCAAAGCTAATAATCTATAGTGTGTTCCTCAAATACCTTCCCTGCAGTCATGTATCCTATGTACACATATGTAACATACATATACATACACTTAAAAGGGTTATTTTTATCATCATTGGTTTTATAAGAATGGGATCATATCATACATATTATATTCATCTTACTTTCACTCAATAAAGCCCCCAGGAAAACCTAGACTTATATAGGTCTAATTCATAACTTTTAATGGCTGCATGATATTCCAAAATGAATATATCATAATATACTGAGTGATTTCCCTATTGATTGAACACTTTGATTTTAGACTAACTTTGTGTCTAGTCTCTAACCATAACAAACAAGGATGTAGTAAGCAGACTTTTATATATGTTTTTATGTACTGGTGCTCTCATTTCTATAGAACAGATTCTCAGAAATGAAATTTCGGAGAATGAAATATGCATTTTGAATCTGAGTCGAGAATGTCAGCTTCCTTTCTAAAGACATTCCCATGAGCTATGAAGAAAAAACAGCAAGAAACATCAAAAACTCTTCTAAAATTTTTGCCAGCCTGATGAGTAGAAACAAATGTGTAATTTTGTATAGCAAATTTTAATGTGTTCAATCCTTACACTAGAAATTTTCCTTTCCTAGAAGTGCTATTTGAAACTTCTCAAATGATAGGCTACTGAAAACTTTCAAAGATATCTGCTATTCTAGAAAGCCTTCTAACAGGAAAGAACTTTCTACATGTGCTTCATAGATAGGTTTGTATTAGAATATTTACAGTGTCTGGGAAGGGCTTGCTCTCTGCTTCCAAGATGGTGTCTTCTTGCTGAGTCCTCACATAGTGGAAGGCAAAAGGGGGAAAAAAAAGACTAGACACCCCCTTCAACTTCCATAAGAAGCTCACTAATCACATCCTAAAGACCCCACCTTTTAACACTATCATACTGGTGATTAAGTTTTAACATGAATTTCGCTGGACATATTTAGGCCATAGCAGACAGCTATTATCAAAAAAACAGAAAGTAACGAGTGTTGACAAGGATGTTGAGAAATTGAAACCATGTGCACTGTTGGTGAGATTGTAATATGGTGCAACCATTATGGAAAATAGTATGGTGGTTCCTCAAAAAACTTAAAATAGAACTATCATATGATCTACTAATTTTATTTCTGATAGACATCCAAAATAATTGAAAGCAGGGCCTCAAAGAGATAACTGCACATCCATGTTCATAGCAGCACTCACATTCACAGTAATGAAATGATAAAAGCAACTCAAGTTTCTGCTGACAGATGAATAGATAAACAAACTGTGGTATATACATGCAATGGAATACTATTCAGCCTTTAAAAAGGAAGGAAATTCTAACGTGCTACAACATGGAAGACCTTTGAGGACATTACACTAAGTAAAATAAGCCACCCACAAAAACACAAATACTATATGATTCCATTATATAAGGTATCTAAACTAATTAAATTAATAGAAAGTAGAATTGAGGTTGCCAGGGCTGGGGGAAGATGGAAAAGGAGAGTTGCTGCTTAATGTGTTTAGAGTTTCAGATTTGCAAGATGAAAAAGTTCTGAAGATACACCGCACAAAAATGTGAATGTACTTAACACTACTGTGAACTATATACTTAAAAATGGTTAAAATTGTAAAGTTTATATTTTACCACAACTAAAAAATTTTCTTTAAACTAAAGAAAACCTTGGGGACTTGGGTAACTGTAACAAAAGGTCTAACATTCATGTTACTGAAATTCCAGGAAAGGAGAAAGAAGGTGGCGGGAGTTGCTAAAAAAAATACATCAAATGAGAGCTAAAAAGTTCTCAAATTCTGCAAAAGACATAAATCTACATATTCAAGAATCTGAGTGACTCCTAAGTAAGATAAAGCCAAAGAAAGCCAGGCCAAGGTACATAACTATTCTTCTAAAAGCCGAAGACAAAGAAAAAGTCCCCAAAGCAGACACACACACACACACACACACACACACACACACACAAAGCCTTCTCTATAAAGCAAAGCCCATCAGAATGACAGCACATTTCTCATCAGTACCAAGGGAGGCAGAGGTAAGTGGCACAACATTTTTAAGTTCCTAAAGAAAACAACCCTGAATTGCATATCCAGTGAAAATACCCTTCAGGAATGACGGAGAAATCAAGAAATTCTCCGATAAAGAAAAACTAAGAATATTTGTTGTCAGCAGATCAACTCTAAAAGAACGGCTCAAGAAAGTTCTTGAAACAGAAACAATAAAAGGAATGTCAGAAGATCAGGAAGAAAGAACAAACAATAGAAAGAACAAAAACATAGACTAAAGCTACCATAAATCCCAGTCACAAGGAAATAAATTCTGCCAACAACTTCAGTAAGCTTGGAAATGGATCCCTCCTTAAGCCTTTGAGGACAATCTATCATTGCAGCCATGAAATCCCTAAGCAGAGGATCCAGTTAAGCTATGTCCAGACTCCTACCGGCAGAAACCGTGAAACAGTAAATGTCCTCAGACTCCTGACCTACAGAAATTATGAGATAATAAATGTATGTTATATAAAGCCACTCCAAAAAAGCCTAAAACAAGATTGAGAAATGTTGGTAACTGTAGAATCTGGTCTCTGAGTTTACTGCAGCTAACTATATATATATATTTTTAACTTTTCTTTAAGTTTGAAAACTTCTATCATTGCCAGGGTGGGGGAAACCCATTGTGGTCAAGAGATAAAAAAGTCTGTTATAATAATCTAATGGACTGGTGATGAAAACCCAAAGAAAATCTGTGACAGTAGGACTTGATACTTAGTAACTAGCTATATGTTCTAGTTCTAATGTTTTTGTTCAATTTTTTTTCTCCCCCTCGGGTGATCCACCAGCCCTGGCCTCCCAAAGTGCTGGGATTGCAGACGTGGGCCACCACGCCCAACTATTCTAATTTTAACAAATGTGCTATATGTGCAAAATGAAAAAGGAAGAATCTAGGAGGACTCTTAAATTGGTAACTGATCAAATATGCTCCATTCAATGAATGAGGAAACAGAAAAGGTCAGTTTATGAATCTGAGGTGTCTATGAAATATTTTGGAAAAGACGCCTAGGAGTACAAAGATACTTGAGTCTGATATTGCAGAGAAGTCTGGTTTAAATACATAGATTTGTAAATTGTGATTGGTTGATGTGCTCCCACCCCCAAATTCCTATGTTGACATCCTAATTCTCAATAGCTTTGAATATGATGGCATTTGAAATTGGGTATTTCAAGAGGTAATTAAGTTAAAATTAGGTTATTAGGGTTGGCCCTAATCCAATAAGACTGGTGTCCTTATAAAACGAGGAGATTAAGACACAGAAGGAAGACCATGTGAAGACACAGGAAGATGGACATCTGCAAGCCAAGGGGAGAGGCCTCAGAAGAAATCAACCTATTGACACCTTGATCTTTAACTTGTATTTTCGAGAATTGTGAGAAAATTAATTTCTGTTGTTTAAGACACCTAATCCATAGTTTGTTATGATAGCTCTAGTATACTAATATGGAAGTTATTATTATAGATATAACACATAAAAACAGGAGATGAAGATATAATGCTGGTATAGCATATAGGGTCCTCTGGAGAATATGAACATTCAGCAGTTATTATTATAGATATAACACATAAAAATAGGAGCAGAAGATATAATGCTGGTATAGCTTATAGAGTCCTCTGGAGAACTTGAACATTTTAATATTTGAGGCTGGGCATGGTGGCTCACACACCTGTAATCCCAACACTTTGGGAGGCTGACGCAAGAGGATCACCTGAGGTCAGGAGTTCGAGATCAGCCTGGTCAACATGGCAAAATCCCGTCTCTACTACAAATGTAAAAATTAGCCAGGCATGGTGGCAGGCACCTGTAATCCCAGCTACTTGGGAGGCTGAGGCACAAGAACTGCTTGAACCTGGAAGGCAGAGGTTGCAGTGAGCTGAGGTTGCACCACTGCACTCCAGCCTAGGTGACAGAGTAAGACTGTCTCAAAAAAAAAAAAAAACAAAAACAACAAAAAAAAACAAAATTTCAGTATGAGCAGTTTTTGAGATGCTTACTACTGAAAAGGCAGTAAGACATACGGTTGAAGGCAAATTAAAATCACAATTGTTTAATACTACACACCTATCAGAAATGCTCAAATTAATGACTAACAGGTAGTAGTACCGATGTGGAAAAATGGTTGACATTGGCATGAAGACAGTCATCAAAGCAAGAATATGGATAAAATTGTGTAGGAAGAGAATGAGTAGAAAACAGCTGAAGACTGCTCCTAGCGGAATTTCAATTAATTGGGAAAGAGAATGATAAGCCTACAAAGAAGACTAAGAAGGGAAGCATGGGGTGTAGGACAGTTAAAGGAAAGAAAACAGAGTGGGAGAAGAAAGAAGCAGGGAGACGTATAGAAAAAGAGGGTACAATCCGAATAGAATACCAAATGCAGGGATAATTTGGAGATAGTCCAAGTTTGG